TTTCTAGCCTAATAAGGGCAAAAGAAAAGCTATATCTTTTTCGACCCCTGTGGACAATTTGATAGACCGTTATTGGTGTATATATATATATATATATATCATATTTACCGATGTTTTATGATCCGATGTGCCTTTGTCGAAGAACATGTTAACCATCAATTTGAATCCTCCTAGTAAGCCGTCCTAAGTACGTACTTAGCCTTCTGGTTACCGCTGATTTTAAAGCCCCTGCTGTTATGCAAGCTCTTAAATGCATCCCGTAAGCCAATGTAATGTAAGAATCTTCATTTAAGAAGTGCACTCGGCATTCGGTGCCAGAAAACTGCCCGTGCAAGAGCCTTCGGGTGAGTACCATGTCTATCGGATATACACCGAAACGGTACTGTCCTATTTGTCAAGCCAGCCTCAAAGAAGCCAGGACATTATTTGATAGCCTAGCAACCTTAAATGTGTACCCTAGTAAATTTCCTTTGTTTAAATTGAATGAAATTGCTTGACATGTTAACTGGTGGACTAGCAAATGGGTCTATCTAACGCCAATGGCCAATGTGGGCATGCGAGCCAAAATTTGATAAGGCGGGTGCGTGTACATAGTTTCTATGTAAGGATAAGTCTTAAAAATAGAAAGTACTAAAATACATTGAGGATAGAAAAATATCAGCCGTTTTTAGGGCAAAATTGGCATTTTTCAATAGTAATTCGGATGACTTTTTACCACGATTATTTTAGAACTTCCGAGGTATATGGGCTAACGAGTGTGAAATATGATTTTTGCGTTATTTCATTGAAACTAAATTAACACTGTCAAGAAAGTTCTGCAGAAACCTAAACGGACGATAGTCAGATGGTGCAAGATGGAAACTATATGGCGGACGCATTGAAATTTCCCATGATTTAAATTTTTGCCGAGTAGCTAGATGAGTGTGTGGTCTGGCACTGTTATGGCAAAAGACGACGTTTTACCTATTCATTAATTTTTGTTTACCAAATTGTTGTAATCTTATTAATCGTTACTAGTAGAGGTCTACCGCAATTGTCTTGCCCGGCCGAAGCAGTGATTCCTTTTCAATTCACTAAGCACATAACGTTACGTTATTTGATTTCAGTCCGCGTTTTTCTGCAGATTCCCCTCTACACATTTATGTATGTAATCTATTTTTCATCACCCGTGATAACCTGCTTAAAAAAAGGGCGCGATTTCATCATGTTTCAGTTCAAGTTTTGCAGGGAAAGACGATCGAGTAATCATCCTTCTTTTCGCTATTTGATGATCGATGTTTAGTTCCTTGACGATGTCGTGTCTACTCACGCGCTCGTCTTGCTCAACTTCCGTAATTTCATCAAGCTGTTCCTGCAGTTGGTCAACCACGGCTACTACGGAGTAACATATTTCACACTGAAGTTTCCGCAACGCGGCAGAACTACTTTTAGGCCCGTTTTCTTTTTTCACAATACATCGTGTCGGTAAACAGTCCTTAGTTTTCCTTTAGGGCTCTGGGCAGTATTTGTGCCTTTATGGTAACAAAATCGAAAAATTTCATACACCTTCAGAGCGCTTCGTTTCAACAATCCTAGCGTCTGCAGAGCTCAAACGAACTCCTGCGAACGCCACCAAGGCCGTCGCGACGCGACTCACGCAATCTGAGATACGTAACCTTTAAAGCTGTCTAGCTACAAAAATGGTCAATAGTTTTTTGACAAAGCAACATTTTAATACTAAATGTTTGTACGAACTAAGAAAAACACAAGCAAATATCTAGGAAAATTCGGTTAGCTTCGAACATTATAATGACAAGTGCCGCTTTTGCTTGTGCTATACAGGACTGAATGTTGTTCTCCTGACACTCAACCAATTCACTGCTTCGTTTACGAACCTAAATTATATTCAATAGATTTTTTCTAATGGCATTAGTTCTCAATAGTCTTTATCAATCGTCGACAGATCAAGTCACTTTGAATCCCGTCGAGTTTTCGAAATGGGCTACACCCATTTTTAAGGCCGAAAACGATCTGTTCTCAATTTTAGCTGTGCGAAAACGGACCTATTATCCCTGGGTCGAAATTTGTATATTCCTAGTTTCGAACGGCTAGTCTACTACGGCTTTGGCCTGTTTATCGGCAAGTGGGGTGCGTGAACCCTCTTAGCTGGTATCTGTCATAACGCATTATACATTATATGACACTGTGATGTTTTTGTTGAAGCCGAGGAAATGATCTGTTTGTCGTCAGTTTTGCAATTAATGACGATTCTGCCTTGTGTGTGTATATTATTTGTATTTTTGTGAATGTTGGATGGTCCATGAAATATCTATGCCTATCTCCTTTGCTGTATTGCGATAGCCGCTAGCAATTGCGTACGGAATAAATGTTCTGTTTATCTGTATTGGAAAACTCTGCACAATGGATTTCGAATATAGTATCGAGGATGTCTCGTCAATGCTCAAGCTTGCAGATGCTCAAAGAACGAGGTACGGGTGCATTTTAATTGAGCGCAAAACATCGTTTTGCCTGACACATTTCATCAATATCATCTCTATGATCTAATGGGCGTGCATAGAAGATAAGCTCTAAAGCGCCATAACATTCACAGCAAGACCGCGAAATTCGAACCTTGGTTTAAACAAGCTGAGCAAGAAAAACATTCTTTTTTAGCTAGGGTTCATTGACCAAGGAAAAGATTTCGGCTTTGCCTAGAACAGGGCACATGTGCAAGACCTGTAACCGCGAAACGGTTCTTCTCCAAAGCCGCATCATAGGATACATTTTTCCTCTTTTAGCAGTTCTAACGAGCATTTCTTATTGATTGGCTCTCAAGTCTTAATTTGATAAAACATCATATTTCCACAAGCTTTACCATTCATCATCATCACTATTGATATTGACAGGCACAAACCAGCCGAATATAAGATTGTTTTGTATGTAATTTTCATCATTACTGGTAGTTTGCTGCTTGTTGTTTTATTTTACGACACGCAACCTGCGTACGAGGCAAAATAATAAGCTATTTACCCTATTTAAGTGTAACGTATCTTGTAGATAACTTACTGACTAGAGTTAAATCATATAAGAACTTAGTAAAGCGCGTACACGTTTTGTCCTGTTCTACGTCAGTCCGGCTACTTCGCGACTTGTAAGGTAAGCCACTAATATCTGTGAAACGGTTGAAATTATTTTCTTTGGCTATACTTTATTCTCATCTGTCGTAGAGGTAGTCAATGACTTCCTGTACATCAGCCATTAGGTGACTCGTAGCATTCTCAGCCTCCCACGTATACTTTTTTGGGACTCGATGTAAAGCATAAAATCGATCGAGTATCTTAAGTGTTGACGGCTGTATTAAAAAAAACTATTAAGCGCTCGACGCAAGGCGAGCATCAAGACACAGAGTATGATTTACTATTTTCAACAGTACTTCCCTCAAATGGCTTTTCCGTCTCGGACGTTCCGAAAACAATTCATTAGTTTTACTACTTGAAACGTTCATAGTATATGTTCTCATTCACTCTTGTGACGTACACCGAAACCCTCCGTAACAAGTCCGAGAGCAAAATAAGCTTCTAGATGAAAACGTACTAGAGAGATAGAAATCAAAACAGAATTTCTCTAAATGACGAATTCATAAAGCTTGCTGTCAATCATGCTTCACCGTATTTGTGGGGAAGCAGTTCCCTGCATGTATCATCTCCCACCAACCAGTTTCAATCATCAAATTTGTTTTCTGGGACAAAATCGTTCGCAACATTCGTTCACTGAAGCCGTTCCTAAGCACTGCTTTTATACGATAACCTTTTGTCGCCTATCACATCGCCTGCGCTTGGTGTTTCTATTGTAACTGCTATCAAATAATAACAATTTTCCAAATGTACGTTGTCAATTATTCTACCTCTCTCTAATCTTGAGAACCTCACTCTCAAAACCTCAGCATGCCCATTGCACAATATCGATACATAAAACTAATTTAATAGAAGAATCATCATCAAATAGTATGTGGGACATGCAGGCAGACACGGACAAATACGCTAAAATATCGTACATGAATTTCTGCGGCAGCGTCCGATTTGTGTGTTCATAGGTCATTTTACAGAAAAAAGCTTGTACGATAAATAACATGTGCTTGTTATTTATCGACCACGGACGTGAAATTCATTGAAAAATCGAGAGACACAGACTCAAGCAGCAAACATCGGGTTCCTAGCTGTCGCTCGATTGGTTAAATCCACGGTAGCAGCAGTAATTGCAGCGCGAACGTCGTCCCTAGCAGGGACATAGCAATCGAGATTGCAGTGGTTGTACTGTGTCGGACCCGAGCGCCGTAGTATCTAGTACTTATTTCATTCCTTCTCATGCAGGTTCCGCTGGAGTTGCTTCCGCCGCAGTCGGCATCGCCACCCACGTTTAGCAGCATAGACCCATATAGCTATTGGCCATCTCAAATACGTTTCGATACATTTGCATGTATACAGAACGACTGTAGAGACACGCAGGCTAACCAGTGCCCCACGTAGTCCGTATCTGTTGACCACATCAAGCGTTTTGCCTGTCTCCCCCATGTACGATTAGATATATTTCCAACACGCAGATTCAGATACAGACTCTTGACAGTCCTGAATACACCACGGTAGATGGTACGTAGAGAGCATTAGCAGCCGAGACTTACGATATCGTCCCGAAGATCCCCCGAATGATCAGTTAATTCATGAGCGTCAACGAGGTAGTCGGATGGTCGACTAAAAGACAGAACGACGCTTTATCGGAGCACAGTCTTTGCCATCCTGACTTGATTTTTACAGTTCAACATCTTTTAAGATGTCGCCAGTAACTATGCTGATGCTATTGCTGTTGTCGTCGGTTTCGAACGGCTTTTTGTCGTGTGCGAACGTTCCGGACGAGAACAACAATAAGCGAGTATTAGAAAAATTCAGCTGTGATTAGCGGACTCTAAAAATGGTCGGCTTGTAGAAGCGGACTTTAAAAATAGTAAAATGATTAACGATCATTACCTTGTGTGGAGTCCGTCGCGGCGGAAAGCACAGGCGAATTACATTGGACCTCGCAGACCTTTGTTGTTTCTGTTGACAGGGTGTATTCGTACGTAACACAACTTGTCTAATCCCCGTTCACTGAATTAATGTTGACTTCTCGGTGGGGTTGTCCTGCAGGTTGCTTCTCTCGTCCACTTCACCCCGGTTCTGAATTCGCACTCAACGGTCTGACACGCCTTAACACTGGTATATTCACGTTAGATCGCACGTTATGATGAACACGTACCTCAAAGGTGTATCCAACTCGTAGGTTTTATACCGTCTTGATGGCGAAGCAACTCTCGTGCTGACACTGGCTACAACAACATGTGTACGTATTACTTCACAGAGTACGCTCTGTTTTCCAGTCCACGTGATACGATGCTTTTCAAGGTGTTAGGAAGCGTATCAGATGTTTACGATTCGGACTTTCCAAAGTGTTTCACGTACACGCTGGCCAGCAAAGAGAAAGTAGCAAACAAATGAATATTTAGTGTTGGCACGTTGCAGATATCTCTTCCTCCGTATCCGTAAGTGTTAGGGGTGCGTGACTCCGCGAAGCAGAACTAGTCGTCGCCACGATCGTCGCGAATGTAATTCATCAATCTAGAAGTCATGTGATTTAGCCGCAACAAGACTTGTCTGCTGACTGACTCATGGCTGTATCGCTCGCCGGATTACCGCAGCTACTCACGCACCGGTCAAGCTATGGTTGTGGCTTGATCTGGCTTCGGTATCGACTAACGTCGGCGAAATACGGATAACTGATAAAACTGACCAACGCGACGACTGAACCAACAAAACAGGGAAAACGATTAGGCCGTAGCCGCCTTAGAGGATGATTGTACGACGCGGCTAAATAAGAAATCGCGTTTTGGGCACAAAATCGTCGTTATCGCTTGCTGACGATAATACGAGAATAGACCCAGCTCTAACAACAGGGGTCGCTGAAAGTACTGCGCATGGTGGAGTTGTAACACTGCGACACACCAGATGATCCTACGACTATAAAGGCCCGTCTCTCGCTGCTGCAGCAGCAAAACTGTACACTTGTACATATGGCGTGTGTCGGTCGCCAGCGTTTTTGGCGCCCAGCGAACAAACACCAGGTACTTGTAATGTCTGCTATCTGGTAGTAGGTACCTGGATGTCCGCCCGCCTGGCTGCAACTGCCATTCGAGATCCTGCTCCCGCTACTATGAACGGTAGCTGTCGTAGCGATTCCGTTAGCAGCAGCGGCGGCAGCAGTAGAAACAACGACTTTCTGGCTCTCTTACTCTCCCAACTGCGATTCTACGCCTTCCTCCTCCTTCATGATGTCTATCATGCTTTCTTGATCCTCGACTCTTACGCTGGTTGGTGGCCAACCAGAAGCAAACGGTCGACGTTGCGACAGTTGCGGACGCTTGAGGAGCCTGGCTGTAGAGTTGAATCGAGTCGAGTTTAGCTGCCAGACCGCCGAGTTAGCAAAGATGCTCTGTAGCAGCGTTCGTCGAGTAGTACGTAAAGAAGCGTTTTACCACTGTACCATTAATACCAGTGTTGCACTGCTACTAATGCGTACGTTGCCTCAAACGTCAAAAATGTGAAGAAGATCTAAAAGAGAGTCCCCCGCATTCTATCATTTATAGTGATAGTACATCTATAGTGATAATAACAAGAATAGCAGCAGCAGCGGCAATATTGCTATCAACCTGCAAATATATATATAAATATAGATACGATACACATATAAATGGCGTATCTTAGTAGCACGTGAACTTCTGGCTGCACCGGAGAGGACGATTGGGGAAAATGGGGGGACTGGTAGAGGACAAGTGTTCCACGAAAGAGAAGGAAGGGCGAGTTTAGCACGGACAGCCTCAAGCAAAACCCTTTGTTCGAAGATCGATTTACCATTAGAAAGCTAGTTAAGAGGGGGCAGGGAGCTTATGAAGCAGGCCTAAGAGGAAATAAAAATAACAGTTGGAAAGTATACAGTGCATGCGCTGATGTAAACAGAAAATTTTAAAAAGTATATATAGATCTAAAATAAAAACAACTGAATTGACGGAGCAAAAATGTTTGTTCAAAACGTACTATAATAACAATTGTGGTGTATTCATTTGACCTAACCTAATTTAGAGCGCATGTTTATCATCGGGCATCTATGAGATTACCAAGACGGAACCATCGGTTTCTAATCCGTTTGGCTTCTAAGACTAAGCAAAAACTAGCACTCTTGCAAGTTATATAGAACTTTTCCAATTGTATGATAATACGAATCATGCAACGAAAGGAAGGGTCTTTTCAACCCATCAGCTCAAACTTAATGAACATGTTCAACAGTCCAGCAACGGTAGGCTTTTTCCTGGCTGATGGTACGCAGATGAAGTTTTTTTTTTATTTAACTTATAACCTCTTCATATAGAAGGGAACTTCGTGGGCCTATAAATACTATGAAATAGCGTTCAGCCCACTGAATTTATATTGTTTGGTGTAAGGTATCTCTAGTGAAAATCACCGACAGACTGATTAAATTGTGCTGGGTTTTTCAATGATTGCAGAAGGTAATTGTTTCTCGCAGTGGTTCGCTGCACCCCCAAAATCTGAATAGTTTAATAAAGTAAGGTTGAGCTCTGGTTTCAATAGATAAAGTCCGTCTATTTCATTAGATTATCAAAAGATAGTGCGATTAGAAAGGGAGAGGTAAAAAGTAGAAAGGTATTAAATCATACACCGAAGTATGCTCTACAATCTACCTAACGTGTTGTAGTGGACTATGCAACTCAAGCCATAAAATCTCGCTCTATCACAATTGTTTATAATCTACTGAAATGTTTATAGGGTTTTGAGAAGTAGTTAACCAAATGTGGTGAACAGTAGATAGTGACATTTCTAGAGGAAGGTAATGGCAATAAAAGAAAACGATAAGGCCAGTATCCATATATAATGCGCAAAATGCAAAAAAGAATGTATATACATATTGTTCAAAATTAATTAAGATATATTTTGACAGGATTGTTTTTCATAAACGAGATGTATTTATTTGTTTTTTTTTCGCGCTAAAGGACCGTTAGTGCTTTCTGAAACAAAGCCACAGGCTTGTTGGGCAATCTTCATTTTGGAAACTTAAGTTTGGACCAGCTACTGCTTACTAGACCGAATAAATCCCCACTGAAATCAGAAACTTCCTTCCTGGTTGACTTGGCGCCAGCTTCCATACGGCTTTAGAAGAACACGAAAAGCAATTCTGTGAAGCCGAGCAAACGATTAGCGAGTTCGATAAAATAGAAAATGTTGTAAAAGATCCCTAAAAAAGAGTATAAAAAGCATGGAAATTAAAGATTATTTTTAACAAAAGGGCTACCTATTAAGTTACTGAGATAAAGCCCAAGAGTTCGTGTTCTTTTTTGTTGAATTTTTTGTCCACTTGGACACTTTTTGCCTACTGTAAGCTTAAATGGAGCAATACATGATAACCCGCGTGAGCGTGAAATTTTCCTCACCGTTACCAGCAAGATCTGCTTTTTGCCTAAATGGCAAAAAAATCATCGAAAATAATTTATGATCGATTCGAGTCGAAAGTGTGATCAGAGCTAATGATTAGATACATTTTCATTTGCTACGTTACAATGTATTGTATATGTGCAGGACAATTAAGCGAGAATATTTTCCAGCTATTACCCGTCGAATCACGGACCGGATCCTGACCTAGGCACTGCAGGTTAAACACATTTAAAGGGTGAGCCTTTGATTTATTTCGCTTTTTTCATAACGGCATTCTCTGTATCGGCTACGTGATTTTTTACCATTTCAATTTCGTTTAAACTTGGCGGGAAGGCCAGCTAGTGGCCTCTATGTTTACCTGGAAGCTGTCTGAGACTGGTTCTCGAATAGGTTTGGAAACACTTTATAATAATGAAGGCAGGGAAAGCGTTCCTTTGAACGATGCCCTCAAATGAGCTTAGTACACATCTCCAAGTCAATACATTATTTTCTGCCTTATTTGTTTAAGTGTAAAGCTAAAAAGCACTTAAACTACCCACGAATAATCACCAAAATGCGTTCATCCAAAATGAACCTTCCACATTATTTCGTAGGACTGTTTCTCTAGTGAACACGAACTTTCTAAAAAATTGCCACTTTTTACGACGTCCCCCTGCTATATCTTTTTTAAACGGAAACTTTCTTACGACCATTTTTTATTTATTTTACGATAATTGCAACCTTATAATAAACAGACAGCCCCGATCGGGTTTGCCCGGTCAATCAAGCTGGCCCACGATGCGGGTATTGTGCCGCGTTCCGCAATCCATTGGTATTTTTACAAAGCTTTAATACGATCTCTAATACGATAAAACTGCATTTGATGGTAGTGTCGATATTGTTTGGTAAGTATAGAAAAATACATTTAGATCGCTAGAATCAAGCGTCTTTCAAAAGACCGCACGTGACGGCATTACGCTGCTAACTTACGTCCTCCATATTGGAAAATGACTAATGTCGAACGTGTAAAACTAAATGAACGATCTGACTTGATCTACTCTATTGAAATAATTGAATATCAATTATAGAAAAATTTCACAGCCATTTTCGCTGTGCAGCCCCAAGCTAAACCCTATTCCTATCATTGAAATAAAAGGAAAAAGCGTAGTTAGTAATTTTTCGAAAATTGAGATGAACCGTTGGGCGTAAATTTTTTATAACATAGACGTATAATAGCTTCTGTGAATTTTCGGTTTATCAAGATGCACATTACTATGTCTAATCAGATGCTCGTATCTGTAAATTGAATGTAGCACGCAGAACAAACACTTTTGCGGATCCGTTTCTCACAAAAAAGCATCTACGCTGTAACGAAAGAATAAGACAAAAGGTAGAGATATACACATGTTCGAATTGCGCACCTCACCGTTTTTGAGAGCCTGAAAGTCGGCCAGGAAAAAGAGCGTATTAGTAAATTAAAGGGCGAACTATACTTTAATTCCAATATATAATTATAAATATCAAGTTCTTGTCTTATTCAGTATTACAAAAGCAAAAAGCTATGTAGCGAATTCGAGGAATCAGTTTTCGGTGGAGATGCCCGCCGCGGCGGCATTTGCGCTAAAAGCCCGCTTAGCTGACGTAAGGCCATCGTCTTCGACCGTCCATAAAGTACAATGAGACTAAAACCCTTCAAATTGAAACCGAAAACTACCCGTGGATGAATACCTACCTAGTATTGGATAGTAGCATTCATTCGATGCCAGCCGTATATAATGGTGTGCATATTTACTCCAAATCATTAAAGCTAAAGTGATAATTCCGTCGTTTTCAATAGTGGCACTTCGAGTTGACGTTACGTGCATTTTCTCCCTACGGACGCGACCCGGATACAGTTAACTGCTTTTTAGGTTCCCATTGCGAGTCGCAGGCACATGCTAGCTACCCAAGTGAACGTTTCCAAGCCTGCCATTCATAAGTAGGGTCCGTTTTGTTCGCGAGTTTATCGGACGTCTGAAACACACTAGAGATGCACGGTAACTACTAGATGCTTAAGAACAATATACAACTGCTATTTCTTCAATAAATCGCAGCTGTTTCTTTGGTAATGGCTCGTTCCATATTGCTCCCTTCGTATTCAGGATCCTCTCGTGCTACAGCTGATATTGACATATGACGAGGCGTTGCTCGATCGGGGCGAAATAGTGAGATAGCACCACAGGGAAAGACCGTGAGCCTAGCATCGCACGCCGTAGAAAACGACTCGATACGACGATTGTTCGCCAATCGAGCTCCTGTTATCGTAGGTCACTCACTGCGTACCGCTTTACTAGCCAGTTATATACAATATCATAATTATTATAGTACAGCCATATCAAAATCTGTCGTTGCGTGTACAGGTACACTTGATCGACTACTTACTGATCACTTGAGACGAGCTTGTTTCCTCAGCCCGCGAAACACTTACTGAATGGTACTAGAGAAAACATTTTCTGTTGAACTGTTGAAAAATTATGCACCTACTGAATCTTAGAGCTAGTACTATGAATCTTTTAAATGAGGCGTTTCTATGCTACGCTTCCATCAGTTTTGAGAAGTTTCACCGACTACAGACAAAGCACGAACTACTAAAGAAAAACACACAAATCGATTTGTCGTCTGCGTTATATCATTTGATGTCAAACTTTTATTTACTAATAATAAGAAGTAATCTCTTGTTGCATTGTATATATATATATATCAATCTGAACTAAGTTTGCGATTGTAAGTCATGCTTACACGAACGACGAATAGTTACAGTAAAAACAATAGTAATATGCTATCTAGTTCGTAGCACATAACAAGAAGACATTTTACTTGAAAGTTGTAACTTTCCCTGTTACATGTGATCTATTTATTATCATAACCACTCTCCGTGACCTGACAGCATCGAGACCCTTATACTAATGTTAATAAGATCGTATATATCGCTTTTCCATTTATTTCATATTAAATCTCACTTCGTTTGAAACCCCCTTTCTCGTGTGCATTTGTCTTACCAATCGCAGCAGTTGAATTCGCTTGTTAGTTCTGACAGATTAAACATTTGTCGGTGCCACTCTGTGCTTAGAGTCTATTTCTTCTTGAGGGAAAATTCCACGAACAATCCCATGTGGGCAAAATACAAAGCCGTTTTGTATAGGAAATAGTGTTTTTGTGAGACCTTATCGATGAGGCGTTTGTAACATTTGGAATTATCAAAAGACATGCAAGTATAATTTTTTTACGTTTGATCAAGTCTCCACTTCGTTTTGGCGTTCTGCCTACTTCGGCCCCCGGTTGAAAGGGCCGATTCCACAGCTGAGGAACCAGGAGTGTTGCCACACGCCTGGTAACGTCATAAATAACTGTGCGACCTACATTCGACAAGACATTCTACGAATGAACCTTATGCCACTGAATGACCTGTATTAGCCTGATGCGTTCATCGAAAATTTCCCTTGAATGATTCCTGCATTACTCTGTCCTCCAGCTGATGACGAAAAGATGTGTCTAATTAGAGCTCCTCGAAGAAAAGATCTCCCACGTGCAGAAGACCTCTTCATTCCCAGGCCCAGTCATCTGCTAAACCCGTGAAAATATTCCACCCAGTGTCAAAGATATGTCTCAAGTTATTTCGCTGATCTTCTAGAATCAGCAATGTGTCTAAATAGTGAGCTGAAATAAACTTCTGACCAAAAATCGCTAGGGATAAGATCAGCTGACGGTAACTGTCTGAATATTAACAGCGTGCCAAATATCCAAAGAAAATTTGCGCGCATGCATAGTGTTTAGTGGGTACGTATGCATGGCGTACAATTCGAGGAAGACCTATGATTTGTGACTGAATTTCCTTTGTTACTTTTATTTTTTCATTTATTTAGTATACCTTCCTGCCTTTCAAAAACTAAGCTAGTGCTAGGTGGCTTTATGGGTACATGTCTCTGCAATAGAAGCCGTTTAGGAGAAGGACTGCCATACACATCTACAAGGAATAATGTCTGTTGCGAACCGGATAGCAAACAATAGACGAGCAGATAAACGGGTTGGGGGAAAGTTCTCTCATCTGTAAAAGGGCAATACCGAAGTGCCGAAAAATACACATAGAAGCTCTAACATGGTGAGGTTATAGTCAAATGTAATTACAAAGGAAATCGAGTGATTTGACAGTTACCTTGAACCAAACGAGGTTGCTCTAACCTAAGCTAATAATCAACGTAATACGAAAATGCAGATTCATCAAAGGAAGAAAATATTTAAATAAATCTTCCGAAACAGTTCGTCATAGATGATGGGAACATTTTAGGCACTGCTCAGTGTAGCTTGCGATTGAAAAACGTTAAAACTGGCAAAACGAACGTGAAGGTCACTCCCCGTTGCCACACTGTGGCTCCGTTGCAGAAGTCCTTAACAATGATTGTGTCGGCGGACATAGCACCGCCGGTGTCCGACTCATCTGTGTCGGCCATTCGGTAGAGAAATCGCATCTGACAGTCAACCACCTGAAACAGTTGAGGACCAAAACAAACGCAAGCAGAAATAGTTCATGAGTGTGTGCTGTGCCTTCATGGATATTGGCAGCCGTTTTGTCTTCAGTACAGTAATTTAGTGACCTGAATAGTCCACAGTTACATACCGTCTTGTGCTCGGACCCCTTACAAATGCAGTGGAGATTATTTTAAATAGAAACTATAAGCAATGCTTTAAGGAATTATACTTACAGTCATAGTACCGTCGGCCATTGTTGTCTTGTTCAGCCTTGCCTTCACTTTATAGTATGGTGGCTTGCAGTCCTGAAGGATAGATCATATACAACGTGAAAGCGCATCGTAAACAGATAAACGAGCTCAAGTGACTCTGCCCCCCATATCAAACGGACGTCGTAGAGGAGAAAAAGCTTTCTTTTGTCTAATTTTGTCTGTGTCTAAATTTGATATTTATACACGTACTCGTTTACGTGAATCACATTTAATTTATACGGCTTCCTTTGTAATCGGTTGCTCATTGGTAGCTTGTAGTCATAGCCTAAGCAGATAGGCGTAAACAGCAAGGCGTGAACTGAGGAATAATATGAAAGGAAAATACCTTCATTTTAGCCGTTTCGACTGAATCTAGAGTCCACGACGTTTTGTTCTCTTTGATATTTTGGTAATCGATCGCCCTTCTGACGATTTCCTCCGCTTCACTCTGAAATGAACAGACGCATCAACTCAAACGGTAGCAGATTACACTCAAAGTGCATATCTATGATATGAACTAGCCGTATAGTACCATCGAAGTGACTAGCGAAACGTCTATTCGAAACCTTCGACTTGGAGCCGACCCAAGCTACCGGTCATTTCAAGCCTAAATGAAACATACGTGTATTGCCACTTACGATCGAAACGTTTGTGAAGTCCTGACAGCAGTCATATTCGTACGCCTTCGTGCACTGCATCGTTGTCGACTTCACTGAGGATTCTGTTGACGTCGTCATGGTTGACTCACTGCTTACGGCTTGTGTAGCAGCTGTTAATGTGATAATTAGAAAACAAGATGTTTCAGTTTCCTTCGTTAGCATGGAGGGTTGCCATTGTCAATGGGTGAGAACATACATTAGAAACTCGAGTGACTATTTCGTATTCATAATACCAATGCTACTATAGAACCTGTTGAAGTTCTTTCTCGCCTAACATCTTTAAACTATGTGCACTTGAACTATATTATCGAAGCAAACGACCTACTGTAGAAGTTGTTTTTTTGCCAAAAGATAAAAGGCACAGGCCTATTAAACCTAAGTGCATGTTAATGTTAATCAGTATCACAGCCATAAGAGAACGCTATAGTACGTTGCTCGTAGAGCAGCTGGCCAACATGTCCAAGTAAGCGCGCACAAAGTGGAAAGGAACATTACTCAATCTACGTTGTACTTATAAAATTGTCCTTGTTAATGATTTCCATCAAAGGAATAACAGGGTCAGTTTGAGCACGGACTAAAAATAAGACATAATTTCAGATGACGCTTTGGAGGGAGCGTTCTTTGGAGAATTGTTGAGACGGCACTGGACGTTCTCTGCAGTGGTACGCAGCATTTTATTCGACGGATATTGCCGTCGTTATCCCAGTACGATGGTGTTTTTCTATTCTACGCGATAAACAAATAATCACAAAAAAAAAAAAAAAAAAACTATTTTACGTAAAGGCAGTTGCACATAAAATAGCTGGATTGGATGATTATGTATCAAATAACTCAGTTGTCTCTTAGCTGTTTTTAGCGTTCATTTTCCTATTGACTGCCATGTACTAAATGAAGCTACTTATGTCTTTCCTTGTCCCCTGCCGTACGTTTGCTGCTCGTAAAGATGCTCATTGTGCGTCACTATCGTATCTCAGTAACATAATTTTGTGACAAAAAAGACTGCACACATGTTGTCATGCATAAACGAAAGGAATACGAATGCAACAATATTACAGGTTAGCGGCAAGCGTTTTTTGAGTTCTAAGGCCGTAGGTAAAAGGAGACGTGCCTGTACTCGCCGTAGTCGGTCCATCCGCAGCAGAAACCAACATCACCGTTGTCATCGTATGAATAGCAAAGCCGAAGATCAAAAGGGTCCTCAAAAAGATAGCGGCATTTACTGTGAAGATGTCCTGGTTTGCCATTGTCAGTGTAGCAGCTAGCGTCTTGCTGTAGTGTATGGCCCGAGTATAAAATCAGCTGGTTAAATAGGTGGATTACCGACAGAGAGCAGTCGCTGCAATGGACGCAATTAGAAAATCCAGATACACAGAGTCAGTTTGAAGCCGATGAGTCTTCGAACATACATAGTCTATAATAAAAAATAGGAAATAAATAAAAAATAAGAAAAAAAATAATACACTGATAATGCAATAATTCTGAAATGTATGCATACATAAAACCTTAGACAACGATGGGCTCAATTTCGTTTAATGCTTAAATCACTGTTCTCGAATAAAAACTAATGTATGCATATGTGGCTTACAAGTGTTTTTCTAACCAAACTTCAGATCGTATCGATTCTAGATGTAGTGGTCATCCATCTTATCCGCCCATCTACTTAAATATTTTCGAGATAATAGATTTAACAAGTAGATCTCGAGATATCTAACTGACTAGTCTGAGCTGATTTTATGTCCTGCAGTGCAGTCAACATCAGAGGCGCCTTAACCTGCCTTGTATAACGACTTCTTCTTGCCGAGCGAATGCGGGAGGATCGTTCAAAGTTCAAAGACTGTTTGTAAAAATAACAACTTGTTTTCATTGTCATATCGGATACTGAGACTACGCAGACGTCGCTCAACACGTAGAAACAAATGATATTACAAGACGTTCTACATAAATGTAGCACTGTTGCCCACAAAATTGTCGGCTGTGAGATATTTTCTATGTGGACATCGAAATAGCTTGCGAAGCATGTTATCGGTACGCTTATCAAACTCAAACTAGCTGGATCAATGGTATACGAAGATCACTCTTTCCTCTGGAAAATTTCCGAATGTGATAAGGGCATCCTACCTGGGGGCAGCCAGTGACTGCATAGTGTTTCTAAGAACGTGGCAGTTTAGGCTCAAATTTGACTGTGGAGACCAGCCATCTAACGAAACACCTAAGGGCAGCCCCAAACGTAAAGCTCTGAGGCGAAAACACTGAGACACCTGCCTTGATCGAATGACGCAATTAAAAGGTCAACACCTGCCCTACGTCGTTTGTAACGAATGTTTCAGACGAGCATGAAACGGACATAGATAGAGACACTGTTGTCTTGTATTGGGCACGAAAGTGATCTGTTAATAACAATAAAATTACTCAAACAAACATCTAGAACGATGCGTACGATTAGCGCCTATCTCCGCCACAACTCAGAGCGCGAGTATCTTCCTACATTTTTATTGATGATAATACCTAGTAATAGTTCGCTTAGAGAAAAACTGTAGAAATCGTTAAAATTGCTAGTTGTTTCATTGAAGTGTGTGTAAACGCTTTTCGGCTGAGCTCCTCAACCGATTAAAGAGCTTAACGCATTTAGAGAAGGCATGCCTTCTACTTATTTACCAGACCAAATGGCAAGTTGCCAAAATTTGACAATGTTGGAAAAAATCAGCTTTCACAAAATTAACTCTATCTACGAGGCGGTGAAGTCCATGTAGCGCCAATATAAATCAATCACTAGGAAAGACTTGCATCGTCTCGAATAGCGATAGAATTAAGATGCCAGCCACTTAACTCTGGCGAACAATCGAAGAAAGCGAGGCTTTCACTGCAAAAAAAAAACGCCACTGAGCTTGAAACTGTATAGGACGGCATAGCGGCTTAATTACAACGATGTCTGCAACATTGGATCAGACACGTCTCTATTAAAACTCAACTCACATAGAAGCCTTACCATCTTTGATCTATTTTTAAACTGTCCAGCCTTATTGAATTAAGTGGATCAATTACGGTTCCACCAATAAAATCTCGAGATTTAAGATGAATCTGCCTGTTCGATATATCGCTATCACGCCTCATACATTAGCTAGGATCCTAACGAGAAAAGACGCAAATATCATTTATCTATTGTACATTATCGATGGTTTCCAGTTTGAATCCGACTGGGAAACAATCACAGGGCTGTACCGCCCGACAAACGAAGGAAGCGTGCAAGCGTCGCATGAACGGCGACTCGATGGTATACTCTCACTGCCACCATCTTATTGGCATCGTCAATGATAACGATATCTATTTTTGACTATAACATAGGTTTGCTCTTTCCCCAACTGCTATGCATCTCGTACCATTATCATAGACATTATATATCTATATAACTGTTGCCGTTCCTGTTAAGCGGCGGCGGCGGCGGCGGCGGCGGCGGCGGCGGCGGCTGCCGCCGATCGATGTTGAAAGGATACTAGAGCCAGCAACGGTAGCTATACCAGCAGAATGTTGTATCATCTAAATGGCCACCGCCACCAGCGATCGTCTGAAGCAACGAGTACAGTCGGGCTAGCTATGATTACAGTAGCGCTACAACATCAAGTGAGAACTTTTTATCACACAAATATAGGACGAATTTCACAAACGGGAGATATCAGTCACGCAACAACACCTAGAGAATTCAACAATGGAACTAGTTTATAAACAACAGTAAAAGTCGATGCACGATCGCGACGTACAACTCCTGAGCCAGATTCAAATTGGATGTTTAAACGAGATAACTCTGTAGAATGTCTAATCCGACGTTATGATTCAATGGATGCGGGAGGGAAGCGACCCTTCGATAGAACGAAATCATGATGAGAAATACTTTAATTGTATGTTTTCTGTTATCACGCAGTTGATAGCGTCTCGCCTGTTTAGCGTTCCTTGATCTAATACGAAGCTAGCACAATACCTGCTATAAGGTCGAAGCACTACTATTTGCGTATAGGTCGCTAACTCCGTTCTCTATTCTGAAAATAAAAAGTGAATTTTCCATTTCCTATTTTGTACAAATGGCCACTTGTCTACCTAACTTAAGCTCGCGCAAACAAGTTGAGGATATAGAATAACGAAGTCGAGCGAGAACAAGTGTGATTTTCCACGATTACGTCTTTCGTCAAGATTTAGTACCTAAGCGTAAAGTAGTTTAAGCAGCGTAAAGTAGTAATCAGCTATAATGGAATTCACGTGCTAAGTAAGGGTAAGCATTCTACGATACCTATTGAATTGAAGGTCTGCAAATAGCCTGATGGGGTTCAGTTAATACCGCACCTAAAAAACTGAACCTTAGCAGTTCTGTTAGGAAATGTCAGTGTCGTGATAAATAGCTCTGCAAGCGCGCATACGTAGCCGTAACTATAGTTCCTCGAAAAGAAACATCGGATACAGTTAGAGACGTTCACTTATAGCATCATGTCGGAAGTGAAGTTTGATCGTGTCAGCTTGTGTATCGTACATCCAAAATCTGAGCGCAGCATCCGGATCTTCAAAGAAACAGCATTACGGTCCTGGGACCATTGTTAAAAGCTTGTATCACAGGTGACGTGGAGATTTCACCTATAATATAAAATTATATGGTATTAAACGTGAACGGGTAGAACCAGCATAGGCTGCCGCGCATAACGAACCCAATTTTCTTTTGTATGTTTTTTTTATTTGTAAGTATCTTACGCAACTCTGTGTAAACAAAACTCCTTTCCAACGGTTAAAATAAACCCATGAATGGTCGGCATGCATCCGGTACAACGGATACGCCGCTGATTTATTCCATATATCGGGCACAAAACCCGCAAAAATTCAAAATCGTTTCCACAGAACTCGAGGGCACGGAACCGTTTCGCCTTTTCAAAGCAGTGTTTTTACACGAACTATAATTTATGGCGTATGGGTACACCACAAATTCTTCAACCGTATCAAATAGGCGATACAACTCTATCTGGTAAAACAAAGTGAAATTAATCAATTAGATTGAACTACATTGTATTACCTTTGCGTTTATTGCCATGTGCAATGCCATCAAGCGAAATCTTACTTCTTTAACGGTGATTACGTGTACCGTTTATAAAAAGAACGTTCTCACTTGGATACGATCTTTTTCTGCTTTCCTTCTCATTATTAATGATCAGCACGTTATAGTTTCTTTCTCTAGCCTCTTTTTCAAGCATTACAGGAGGCGTATATTATAACTCTGGTGGAAATTTGCACTCAATTCAATATTTGTTTTCGTAATCGCTGCCGCAATCCTTTCAACAAAAAAAAAAAAAAAAAACGACCAGTCAACCAGGGAAACAGCGTTATCCCAGTAGCGCTTCCGCCACGCTTCACCGACTACCACCCGAGTCGAGATGGCGTCGCTGATCTTGATGGTCAGTGGTTATCGAATAAAAAGAGTTTCGCGTGTGCAACGGACAACAACTACGTTCTCGATTACAACTCGCCATTTATCTCGCAGAACAATAAAAACAAATGTGGAAAAACGCCAAGATAAGGCAGCTGCGCTATTCTCTCTCTGCTGCCCACTGTATTTACCTATAGTTCACTGCATAAAAATGAAAACGTAATTCGTGTACACAAATCACTAACTGAATGTGAATCTTACTACCAGCCATGTTATGAGATGTTAACCATACTAAAATATGGCGTTCCTTTTCTTCTCCCAATAACTTTACAAACAACCAGAAGACTTCGTGCGTCGTGCTGAACGACGCGTGCTCAAGAAAGACGACTCCAGGAAAGGCTACACAACGCACAAATTAGCCCACACAGTTTATGGTAAACAACTATATACGGAATGGGCAAATGAATGCGGTTGGAATTGGTGGCAAATTTGGTCATGACCGTGTGAACGATCAACGCCTAAACCAAGGGTTTCCTAATGCCTTGTTATATTGCTATATTGGTTAACCATATACTGTAGAAGGCAATCATGGGTCCGTATTCCAATAATGGTCGGCAGCGAGTGCCAGACTAATAGATGATCAGCCAGAACAAATGGATCAACACACTTTCTATGCTCCTTCTTGTAGGACATCTCCAATAAGCCTGACCTCTATTTCGATAGTGAACAGTACAGGTCATTGTGTCGACGAACAAGTTATCCAGAAGTCATCTATTCGGATAGCGACTCACATATTGAGATTGATTTATTACTTCGACTAAAATTTGACTTCAGCTAAATCTGACAGTCACATACATAAATAGGTTAAAAAAAAAGTATTTGTAAGTTCATTAGGTTACACGCTATGTACGAACGATGCTGGTTACGATTCTGCTTCTCGTACTAGGCTTGGATGTACTTGCAGATTGGTTGTGGAGTTCTTGATTTATCAATAGCCTAAATTTCAACTAGTTTTGATGTGTGACACAGAAACCCGTTTCTACAGCAACCCAATAAAGCAAGATATTTTGGGGTTCAGAGTCGGAGCTAATTTCACTGGTCAGGGATCTATCATATAAGTGAGAACTAGGCATAGCGATCAATTTATGCATTATTGTTGTTAAATCAGGGAAATGAACAGTTACCTTTTATAGGATCAAATATAATATATTATTACTCGCAAGTTTGAGTCCAGACATTTACCCGAACTACGTAAGCGAATTAGAGAAACATAATCTAGAGAAAGAACCATGAATTCGTTTGAAACATAACACTGCGCTCGGCGTTTCTTTAAGAAACATCCATGAACTCTACAGTGTCAAGGCCCGTCTGTTCACCATTGTTTGGACCTTGGACGTCACAATCTTTACCTCAATATTGCCTAACATCGCTATATATTCCTGCCTCTCGGAGAACATAGCTGCACCTCTTTTATATATATATATAAGACATCTTAATTTAAATGGCTGAAGTTCCCCATCGATTGGGGATTGCCGTCCTGCCAATTTCATTCTGTAGAGAGGCATGTTTGAAATATTTACTTTTCAAATGAAATGATCATTTTGCATTTATTTGAGGTCTGCTTTGTGTCGCTATTCCCTTTTTTTCGAGCCGTAGACGACAACCACGACTTGCCTTTTTTTCTTTTCGGTCGAACTTTTTAGGCGGTGTCAGGATTTCTCTAGGATACTGTTCTTTTTTCCAAGCCTCCTTGCCATGGCTGCGATGGCGCGAGCAAGGGAGGTCGATAAGCCTCCCCCAGTTCTTGTTTCGGCTGGTGTTGTTTCGTAATTGAAGGTTCTTTTTTTGCAGGCTGTTTTACTCTGTGCATGGGCTCTTCCAATCAACCGACATGTTCGGCCTATAGATTCATCAATTCTACCAGCTATTGTTAGCATGACATTTAAATAGGTGATCTGATTGGGCCCAACGTTTCGATTTGTAAGGTGGCTGAGCAAATTTCAACGCCTAAGAAATAGCTCGTCTAGCGCGATGGGAAACTTAACCGAGATGACCCTGGCCTTGTGACCCGGTGGCACGAGCAGTCTAAACAGTCTAAAGTACTAGTAACTGAAAAGTTAGAGGAACAGGTAAGAGAAAAGTGGCGGGTTCGTCGATAGTGGTTTGGCCGAGCCCAAATCTCACTGGCCCATGCTGGATAGATCTTGCTCTTCTACTAGTGCATGATAATACCTAAATTGTATTAGTCAAACCCTCTTCAAAATCAGAATAAATTTCCAACTCACGCAGCCTAACCCTTATCACCAAAGATAAGGGACAGCTTGTGGATACTGGCATCCAACAGTAATGGAGATAATTTGCCTCTACAAATTACAGCCATCCGAAGATGGCAAAGGCTGACAAAATTTAAAACCCGCTCGGATGATCATGATCCAACAAGTCCACAGCTTTCGTAGATTGAGATTGGCAAGAATAAAAACGCTACATAAGACCTAGACTAAGGGGCGATAAGAAACACCAGTCGCAGTTTGCATCAATTCAACAACTAGGTTGGGCTTCAAAATTTGGCCGATTTAAATACCCAAATAAACTTTCAACAATGGTACGCTAAAAATATCTGAATATAGAACAGACGTGAAAACGACAAAAGATAAAGTGATTCACAACCCCTGCAAAAGGCATCTTGATTGTAAAATTTCTGAGGTGAAGTTTTTAAGAAATACTTATTAGCCACTAGATAATAAAAACACAGTAATATATCAGAGTTGTGAAAGTAGACCATTAATAACCAGCCGACAGTTTTCGAAAAGATGCTGTTTCAGATCTTCAAAGCAATGAAGTACACAAACTTCGCAGAACTATATCCTCGGACAAGCCATAGTGTTGGGCTGTCAAGCACTGACTTGAAGGAGTAATGGAAATTATATATCCGAACGAAAGGAAAAAGCGGAGGCGTTAAGCAATACGCGAGAAAAATAAGCTTAACACGGTACTATTAAGCTCACAGCTATAGTTCATTGATAAGTTTTAAAGAAGTGCGAACTAAAACAGCATTGAATCTCGAGCGAGTCTAGGATGTATTCTTTCTACCAGAGAAATGCCCATCTCGTCTTGAAATATGGCTCTGGGTAGCGCCTGGGTTGAAACTTGTCTATTCTACTAAGCTTTTGGAAATACTACGTTAACGAACGAATAAGTACGTTTTGCCATACAGTTTATGCAAGCAACACGACATAATTATATATGCACTGTCGTAACACGATAATGTGCTAACTGGCAACCACGTGTGCCATATGATTGAGTACCACCGTCTCTATTTTTTTTAGGCCTAGGGTAAAATTAGCCAAAATCTGTTTCACCCGACTGAGCGATAACATACACCGTATCGTTTAGCATGGTTCACGGGTACCACAAGCATTTTACGGGAGACGGGACATTGTTTGAGGTTCAGATGTAGTTTTTGAAGCGAACGGCAGCTGTTTCGTTCGAACGATACAATTACACCATCATACAATGGCTAGGAAAAAAGCAAAATGACAATAGGTTTTTGGCCAATACGATGAGTTGACCAATACTAATTTTGCACCTAACTGCATGTATACATAGGCGAACAACTATCCATCACAAGATCTAGCTAGCATTGCTACAAACGGGTGCAATCTGATCGCCGCAAGCCGATGATAAGGTGACCTAGCCATCAGCTGGTGACAGCAAGAAGGGTTTCGCGATTGGGTGCCGTGCACCATGGGTAGCACCACTGCGAAACAGACAGAACGAGTTTTCCACAATAAACTGATTGAGGCGCGCAAAAAATTCCTAGGTCAACGAAACAGACCACGTTTTCTTGATTGTAAATGTCAAGCCCCAAAAAACCCGCTCAGGGCGGTGAAAGTATTAGAGATTATGGCTTGACTTTGCTCGATGTTTCATAGTAGTCCTGCACCAAGCAGGTATATGTAACGGGGGTTGAATTAATGATTTTTAGCTTTCGCAGTCTGTAAGGCGGGCCTCTAAGCCGGACGCGATCACTGAGATAACGTTTTATAGATATCTACAAAAAATTAAACTACTGCAAAAATTTATTTTCGATTGTTTCGGTTCAACCGTAAGGTGTTGACGTATTCGTCAAGAGCTTGAACAGTTATTCACCGTATTTATGCATGTTTAACGGAAACTATCCATGTCCCTAACTCGTCGACGGACGGAGGAGCAGGAACGTGTGTCCGGTTTTTTTTAATAGGCGGTGATAAGAGGCGAGTCATGTCAGGCCCAGAAACTTAGTCTAATCTGCCTCAGTGTAACAGTTTGAACGATTCAATCCGGAACGTATTTATAGCAGATGTGGTGACACGCACAACGATGTCGCCAATCGCAATCTGCGTTTGCAATGGCGAAGTGCAATGAACAGTGTTCCCGAAGGGTGAAGGGATAAACTGGGTGGGTGCAATGATGGTGCAAAGACGGAGATAGAGAAATCGACGTTGAAAATTTGAGTACGAACGGACACACATAGATCAGTAATAGCCAGCTCATCTCCCCTAACTGCTGTGATATGTTCAAAGCAATGATATCAAATGAGACAAATGCAATATAAAATTCAAAAGGGATAGCTGATACTCTCGTGAGCGCCACCGGCTTCATTTTTGTTAACGTTTCGATTACGCTTGTTACAGTGGTTTGTCAGACGGCGCGCTGGCCTTATCAGCTAAAGTAACACGCTTCGCCAAAACGAAGACACCCCCTAATCTTCCTTGCAAGCGTTAACGTGCCGTAAGGACGTTTGCGCTAGCTACGTGCACCGACACACGGTTATTTCCATTCAGTTTTTCAAAGTGACAGTGGCGTACGATGCGAGAACAATCGAGCGCTCAGTAGTCTCAGCTAAATTGTTCCGAACGAAATGACGCTATGCTTGCCTGACAGTTCACCCGGCCGAGACGGGCGTGGAGCGAGCAAGGGAGAGTACAAATCGAATAGGTGACAGCATCTGTGCATAGTGTTCGATTTAGGATTAATTTTTATTCTGTACGACGCCGACGCTGGCTGATCGAACTAGTTATACAAATATGAACACGATCACGAAGGTGCGCCTAAAACACGTTCAAGAGGTCCGTGAGTACGAAAACCTACACAACAACGGCGATGCTTTCGGTCTGTCTGAATCGGTCAACTAGGCGAGCGGCTGAAGAACTGATGGGCCGATTACAAATGGCACACAACAGTTTACTATGTATCCAACGGCTATACAAACCTTCTGTCAAGTGTTACAAGTGCTCATCAAAAAACCGTCCGTTTAGAGCCTTATTCTGGAACAGATATTTGTCCTTAACCCAAATCGAGCCGACAGCCTAAAGTGTCATAGAAGGCAATTGTTCTTGTCGCCCGAATGCTCTACATGTTGGAGGAGACGGCTAGCTATCGCGAGATCAATGATAATTGCGTTATAGTGATTTATGCAAGTCCGTTAGAATGCATTCCCTATTGAGGTATCCACTGTCTGTTTTCGGAACGGGGCCGGTGTACTTTTAAGTTGGGTGCTAGTTACTTAAGGAAAGTTGTTGGAGCGTGTCATAGTGAAGATTTCCTAGGCAAATCGAGCATGTGCAAAATAATCACTTGGTTTCTGCGTGGTTCTAATTAATGAACTGTAAAATCGACTAAAAACTGATCGCCTAGTTGTTCGCTGATACTCAATAATTCATTTTATCTTTTGAATATTTCAACAATATTATTCAAGAACTTGATCCTATAGCATAGGACGTAACACGTACATTTTCGGAAAGAGGAAAGGATCCTCTTTTTCTCGTCTGACACAGACACCATCATAATAAATATTGCGTGCACTACTACTATATTCTCTCGGCGCAAAACTTAGTGGATTTTGAACCCTGTATTGCGATGGAGTGACCGAGGGGTTCGGTGCATACTTACAAACGTCACAGGTGGACAAAAATATAACGGCAAGATTATTTCTCCATCCACCTGCCCCGCTCCAACCATCGTGTATATTTCACACGCTGGTAGGGACAGTGAAACAAAAAAAATTCGGACCTATATGCTTCATATAATCCAGACAAGACTACTCGTTGCTTCGATAACAAGGAGGCCCAGAAACCCGGCTGGGCCAAAGTAATCCAAGGTCAGGGACACCGCCGCTCACACCATCAGTAGACATAGCAGTTACGGTGTGGCTGTTGTGCGCTACATACCATTGCTACTAAATCGCAACGTTAGGCGCAAAGGCGCTAAATATACCCGCTAACCACACCCAATAAACACAAGTCATCATCGTTGTATAATCTTCGGGTAGGTCTAGCGTAATGTGTTGAATATGCAACGGAATAACAAGGGAGATGATTGTATTGCATAAATGCGTACGTTGTGCTTGTAGAAGATCCGTGTTGGTTAGCAAAGAACAAACCTGATTCAGTTTGACCTGAGCACTTACGTGTATCAGCGATCGGACGGAGAAGTCCTTCGAATCAACTAGTCGGGTTAATACAGGAGAACTAAATATGACATATTAATAACGTTTTCGTACTTCTTTCTAACAAATTGAAATATCAAATTTAACAGATGTCTCAAACAGAGGCGTGGGAGCAACTTGTCTTTAGCTCTGCATCCGCAGTGGCCAATCCACCTTTTGCGGTCAAATGTCAAGATTCGCCGAATCAGTCGTGATACGAAAATAAGGCCAAGGACATCATTTCATTGTTCTAGCGCGCGCCTTCTAGTTTCAACTATGCGATATTGTGACCAGGAAGACTAAAATCAATGTACGTCCGCGTCTGAAAAGGTCTCCATAATCAGTCTATAATAATGGTTGGTCTAGGAGAAAAAAAAACGTTCTGTGGCTCCGATGATGTTATAAGGTGATTGTCAATATAATTGCGTATATTATATCAGTAATTGATTTATTGTAGGGGTAATCATAAATGCTACTCTGCGTTCATTTTCTCGTGCTTACGTACACCCCTGTTGTTCTCTGTAGCAGATATTTCTGACCTGTACAATGATGTTTGATTGATTCGGGAAAAACCCGAAGTAATAATGCACGATACAACCGCCGCGAACACACGTTTTGCTGGGTCACATTATGCTATATACAGAATTGATGCATCTGACATTTGCCAGCGATGACAATACCGTCATTGACGTAAATTGAAACTACTGCTAACCAAATCTACAACAGCAAAACAACCGCAACAGTCGATTTCTTCTTTCGATCTAAATCGAAAGTACTCACGAAGCCTCTAGATGCAACCACTTTATTATAGTCACCCCAAGAACTAAGTTTCTTACGCTTATCGGTATTAAGTCTAACTAATGCGGCCCGGAGATAATACGAATAGGTAGTGGTAGTCACCACAATAAGAAAAGTATACAATGAAGTTAAACATGATTTACATTGGATAATGCTTCATAATAAGATAAAGGAAATGTAAATATTCAGCGGGACACAGGTTATCGAGTCAGCATGTGACGTTTGTTAGCAGCAGGGCCGCCCAGATCTTATTTGTCGTTCGTCCGGAGCCATGGTTCGGTTACTTCTACTGCATGTACTCATGCACGTAGAACGAAGGTTTGCCTGTAAACTAGTGAACAATTTTTGTAATGCATGGCAAATTCAATCATCTGAAGCCGACGCAGGCTTCAAAACAATGCGGGGAACAAAAAAAAGGATAGGGTAAAAGTACACTGCCACGTTTTGCATCTGCATCAAATACGTTTGGTTCCGAAGGTACATACGGCAAAGGTAATCCTTAGTTGCATAGGACCGAAATGGAAGGAGTTGACATCAATAGTTGCAACAAATTACCCGTCTGACCATGATAAAATAACAGTATCGTTCAGATCGTTCTGTAAAAAATTGGTTGAATACTAAAAAAAGCTTTATAGGAGAGTATTTTGTTTGAAAATAATTTCACTTGACCACTAATTCAATACACAAACGTGTAAGTCAATATAAAACAAAAAAACTTATAGCAAAGAAGACTTCCCCGCAAGCCTGTTTAAGTCTTCGACCGAAACGAATCCATTACCTCAAGATTAGCACTATTTAGAAAGTCTCCGTCCATTTACTCGTTCATTCTATCGGCCTATTGCAAACGGAAAATATATTAAGTGACTAATTAAATGTGCACTAACCCTTTTCAAACGTCACTCCTAAGCCTTGCTCACGTTAAAGTTGAACCTGCTCTGCGTTTCGCGCCTATCAACACAATAAGTGTTACGATTTAAGGACAAGAAGAAGATCTGCAATCTCAGTTACCCCATGCCACTACTAATCCTGATCTGGAGAGCTGAGGAGGTGAACAAGCGACCCCCGCCTGCTGTTACTGTACGTTCAAGACAAGACCGAAATGAAGAATAATTTGTTGAGCCTGGCCACGATCACCATTACGGCCTCTGTCTATCTATTATTGATGAACAATACACCACTTCCATCATGCACTAAGCAAATGGTATCGCGCACGAAGGCGAGCAGTGGTAGAAATCGGTAAGAGATGGCCTGCTTCCAGTCTTGTTTATGGGTTCCCCTTACTTCTGCTGCTGCTGTTGCTCCGACGACTAGCAAGTTATGGCTCGTCGTCGATTGTTGTTAGCATGAAAGGGGCTAACAGGCTACCTGGATTATGAGAGAGACCGGACAATCAGAGCTGATCGGACTGATTCTGCAAATTCATTTGATATTAAATATGGACTCATATGAAGAAATGAACTATCGCTCCATAGGTTTTGCAAACGGTTATGTAAGACACATAAAGAAGAAACGGA